TGCACACATCAGTAGTCTATTATCATCATCATCATCATCTACTGCTGAGCAAGTATCTAATTACATAAATGTATCAGAATTTAATCTATTATCCACTGAAGGACATTTCAGGATTTTTTTTCCCTCTAACTGAGGGATATTTAGAATACAAATGCAAATATAAATGAACATTCAATTTTAGACTTTCTGTGAATACAAGTTTTCATTCATCTACAATAAATACCTAAAAGTACATTTCCTGAGTACTTTTATAACTGTACATTTAGTTCTGTAAGAAGCTGTCAAACTACTTCCAATAGCTGCTATACAATTTTACATCCCTCTCTTCAATGTATTAATATTTTGTCATTGAGTCAAAAGAGTACTACTAGACAAATAGAAAAATTGTTCATTGCAATATAATATCTTAAACCATTAAACTCTTTTAAAGGTTTCTAACATAGGACTATAAAACATTGCAAATAAATACTTCTAAATAATATCCTGGCAAAACATCTGGCAAAAGAGAAAATAAATTTGTAGAGTTATTCAATATAAACAAAAAATGTTGGGGAGAATATATTTTTATGTTGTTTCACTGAAGGATTTTTTTCAATGTTAGAAAATATTTATCCTAATTTTGAGCCTTATTTACTGTAAAGTAAAAAAATCTATTATTTCAGAAAAATATTTTCTTTAAAGAAGCAAATCTATTATTTCAGAAAAATATTTTCTTTAAAGAAGCAATTGTGTTTATTAGAATATTTCTACTTCCATTTGTATTTGCTACTCTAACTGGCCTACAGTAAAAATTATCATTGTAAAATAATGGCTCAGAGAGTTGGGTGCTGATAGCTCACACCTATAATCCTAGATACTCAGGAGGCTGAGATCTGAGGATTATGGTTCAAAGCCAACCCAAAGAAGAAAGCCTGTGAGACCCTTATCCCCCAATTAACCACCTAAAAACCAGAAGTGGAGCTGTGGCTCAAATTGGTAGAGCACTAGCCTTGAGCAAAAAAGCTATACACAGGCCCTGACTTAGCCAGGCATAGATGGGTCATGCTTGTAATCCTAGTTACTTATGTTGTGCAGGACAAAAACTAAAAGCAGCATTGCATTGTACCAGTTTCCTAAGATGACTCTTCCCATAGTATGGTCTCCTCTCAAACAGTGGCAGTAGCAACACCTAGATGCTTCTTAGAAATCCACAGCTAAATCCAGTTGCTGGTGGCTAATGCCTGTAATACTAGCTACTCAACAGGCTGAGATCTGAGGATCACGGTTCAAAGCCAGCCCAGGCAAGGAAAGGCCATGAGATTCTTATCTCCAATTAACCACCAAAAAACCAGAAGTGGTGCTGTGGCTCAAGTGGTACAGTGCTAGTCTTGAGCTGAAAAGCCAAGAGACAGTGCCCAGGCCCAGAGTTCATGCCCCATGACTGACAAAAAAATAAATAAATAAAAGAGATCCACTGCTAGTACTCCATCCCAGGAACTCTATGGAGGATCTAGCAATATGTTTTAACAAGCCTTCCAAGTAATTCAAATGGATGCTCTAATTTGAAAAAGCAGTAGATTCAGGCCAAGACACACCAGAAAGCTCCATCTAAAAGCCTTACTACAAGCTTTTATGTTTTGGATTCTCCAAGGAATGGTACTATTGAATGTGGGTAAGACAACATTTTTGTTACGATTAACTTTTAGCACTTCTGATGACAATAGCAAAAGCAATTTTCCATATGCATTTACCATTTCCCTGCGGGTTGGTTAAGAGTGCTCCTGAGAATCACTGATAAAATGAAGGCTCCCTTTAGCCCTTTTCCTCTCCAAAGATCTTGACCACACTCTGTCTTGATTAACCACATCCCTTGTACTACATGTAAAAGGAGGGATGGTCCTGTTGGTCTATGAAAGCATGCAACGAAGTAGGGAGGATGGGTTGGGAGACGGAGGCACTTTTTGCATTGACACAAATTTTTACTAGGTCTATCATATGTCATTAATTTTATTTTTTCTAATGTCAAAAATTAATTTAGTCTTTTTAACCTCAAAGACTTTACAGAAACTAAGTGGGGAAAAAACTGAGTATTTACATAAGTGATCTTCCTTAAGGTCAAATTTAAAATTTAAAATCATTTATAATTACTATCTAAAAGGTAAAAAGAAATATTTTGCTACTAAAAGGAAATATTCAACAAGGAAGGTCTAGAGATGTGGCTCAGTTATAGGGCACTTGTCTGTCATGCACAGTGTGGAGTTCAGCATTTGAACTGATCCTTAAAAGATGAATATAGTTTCAACAGACCAGGGGTACGTAAAGGACAATATTCAAATCTGCTAAAGAATAAAAGTGAAGATATAACCAGGCACCAGTGGTTCTTACCTTTAATTCTAATTACTCAAGAAACTGAGATCTGAGTATCATAGTTCAAAGCTAACCCTGGAAGAAAAGTTCATGAGATTCTCATCTCCAATTAACCAGCAAAAGGCTAGAAGTAGAAATGTGGCTCAAGTGGCAAAGTTTCAGCCTTGAGTGAAAAAGCTAAGTGAGACTGAGGTCTTGAGTTCAAGGCCCAATACTGGCACACATATACACCAAAAAGCGAAGACATACAGAATATTTTGTTGCTGTTGTTGGTTGTGGGGCTTGAATTCTGGTCCAGGGCACTATCCCTCAGGTCTTTAGCTCAAGGAGAGAGCTCTACCACTTGAGCCACAGCGCCACTTTGGCTTTCTGGTAGTTAATTGGAGTTTCATGGACTTTCCTTGCCCCGGCTTTGAAATGTGATCCTCAGATCTCAGCCTCCTGAGAAGCTAGGATTACAGGTGTGAGCCACCAGTGCCTGGCCTATACAGAAATTTTATATATGTGGTATAAAAGAAACTGAAAAATTCAGGGGCAGAACATAAGAGAGAAAAATGGATGCAAGAAGACTTCAAACCTACATTTCATTCGTCCTGAGGATTAACACTGCCTTTACTAGTAAATATTTTTATAATATATGCACCAAAATTTTGATGAGGTTCAATGGTTTTAGTAGAAGTCAGTCTTTCAGAGAGCCAAATGAATCAAGTATCAATATAATCTTATTTCAATATAATCTTTCCTAAGACACAAGAGCATGCATAATGTATTCTTATGATCTTCATAGGGACCTCCTGTACTCCTATATAGTTTAATTTCATTAAAAAAATCCTACTACCGTACAATATTTGAAGTTTCCAGAGTGAAAACAGCTAATCTAACCTGACCACAATTCTGTCTTGGTTTGATTGACATTGTAAACCTTTTAGGATAGTCAATGAAATGTGTGTAAACCATGTAGGTGTTGAACTTATAACCACAAAATGGACTAAGCATGAATATTTAATGTTAGATGAATGAATGTTAATGAATACTTAATGTTGAGTCAGCAGCTGATAATAAATAACATAGTTTAGTGGCAAAGCACTGAGTACTCTCTAATACTACCAAAAGAAAGAATTATTTTGGCTCCCTAGTAAATTAAATATAAATAAGGTAAAACATGAAGCATTTAAAAAACTGTTTTCTTTTCTAGATAGTAGTAAATACTAATAAAAGTCTGATTTGGGGGAGGAGGTTCTGGGAATTGAAGCCAGTGTTTCACAAGGTAAGTAATGTTCTCTATTTAGTTACACATTTAGCCCGAAATCTCATTTTCTATTTAGTAAACTATAAAAATTTATCTGTTAAAAAATATATTTTCACAACATGCAACCAAAACCAAATTGCAAAAATCATGAAAATATTCAAATTTGTTGAAGTGTCAGAAAATTCAAATAATACCCAATTCATTAGGACTAGTTTTTGCATAAAGTTACTAAAAGACCTAAATTTTATTAAAACACTTTTGAACAAATAATTTAATTATCAACACAAAAAGTTCACCCTTTAAGAGTCAAAAAGTTCACCCTTTAAGAGTCCTAAATAATGTCTTTGATTGACAAAGAATGATTGATTCATGAAATAAAGGAAATATTAGATAGTATAACAGAAGAGAAAATGTGAAAAGGATAGGCAACTATTATTCCAAAGAGAACCTGAAAAATCAAGAACTATTTTCAATAACATACAGCTAAAGAACAAGTAAATAGTAGAAGAAGTTGAGATTTAGATATACTAAAAAAATTCTCTACTAAACACTGATATTGTTGCATTTCAAATCCAGGTATTCTTTGTGTTTTTATCTGTGTTTCTTAGAGAAAAGAAAATCCATAAAGTCATTTTAAAATAAAAAGTGAAAAGGCCAGGTGATGGTGGCTCATGCCTATAATCCTAGCTACTCAGGAGGCTGAGATCTGAGGATCACAGTTCAAAGCCGGACAGGGCAGTAAAGTAGAAAGTCTGTGAGACTCTTATCTCTAATTAACCACCAGAAAACTGGAAGTGGCACAGTGGCTCAAGTGGCAGAGTAGAGCCCTCGCCTTGAGCTGAAGGGCTCAGGGAGAGTGCCCAGCCCTGAGTTCAAGTGGTAGAGTAGAGCCCTCACCTTGAGCTGAAGGGCTCAGGGAGAGTGCCCAGCCCTGAGTTCAAGCCCTAGGTGCAGCATAAAACACAGACACAGACAGACAGACAAGCAGACACACACACACACACACACACACAGAAAGCAAAATAAATCTAAAAATGCTATTTGTTTTCAAAAAATATTTAAACAGCTGGGGGAAGTGGATTGGCCTTTAGATGACTGATAAATTTTTGTTAATTTTCATTTGGTGTGACAATGGTATGGTGATTATTTATGTTTTTTCAATCTATGTACTAAAATATGACATTCTACGTAGGACTTATTAAAATATATCAGCAAAGAAAAATATTACAGCAAATACAGGAAAATATTAAATGAATGAGGTATATACATTAAATTTTTCATAATAAAATGAAATAAAAATTCTAATATTAGAGCCAAAGATATAGAGAGTTAAAAATTGCTATGAAGAGAATATTCAGATTATAACTAACACTAAAAAGAAACTAAAAAGAAAAAAGAAACTTACCTTCCTTTGGGCTCACGGCTGCAGGAAGACCATTCCAATCAAGGGACCACATAGGGGAAGGGTGAGGAGCAAGCATCACTTCAATGCCATTTTCCTAGAGAAGGAAATAAGTTTTCAAATTAATAAGTTAACAAATCTTATGCTTTTGAGGGCCAAATTTCTATTTTCTACGGCAAAGAGAAGCATTAATAGTAATAATCAATAGATATTTAATTAATAGTATCTATATTAATAGTATATAGTAATAATCATCAGATATTTCCAAAATGTTTGACTTCTAACATCATAGTTACTTTCCTTTTTTTCCCTTTTTTTTTCTTTATTGAGGTAATAAAAAACATATAGAACCAAAGAGCCATCTAGAAATAGAAATGCATCAGATATAGAGAAAGTCACCTGAGGACAAAACTGTCTCAAAATCAATCCACTTAAGAGATTATATGTCCATCAAGTTCTACCTTTTCATACATGAACACTGCCCCAAACTTCCAAGATTTATAGTGACAAAAGCTACTACCTTAAATCATACCTCAAATATTACCCCCATCAGTCCTTTATAGTAAGAGACTGCAATATCTCTAGAAAAGCATTTCTCTGGCTTAACCAAATACATATCAAAATTTTAAGAGGATCACTTTTTATATGTATTTTTTTCAGGTTCCTTTTATTTCAGAAGCTATGCATTTATTTCATCTACAGATATTAATATGGCATATACATAGATTCAGACACCTTTCCAAATACATTTTGGGTCTACATGCCACAAAATAAATAACCATGGTACAGGTGTTTTTTATCCCTACAGGTAACCTATGCAAAAGAAAAATTGCAGCTGGGGTGGTGGCACACAGCTAACATCCAAACTCTAGGAAAGTCAGAGTATCACTTGAGTCTCAGTTCCAGGACAGCTTGAGACCTCTGTCTCAAAATAAATGAATTAAAAATTGTTGAGACTTTGAGCTGGGCGCTGGTGGCTCACGCCTGTAATCCTAGCTACTCAGGAGGCTGAGATCTGAGGATCGCGATTCAAAGCCAGCCCGGGCAGGAGAGACCATGAGACTCCTATCTCCAAAAAACCACCAGAAAACGGGAAGTGGCGCTGTAGCTCAAGTGGTAGAGCGCTCGCCTTGAGCTGAAGAGCTGAGGGACAGCGCCCAGGCCCAGAGTTCAAGCCCCACGACCGACAAAAAAAAAAAAAAAAATTGTTGAGACTTCAACATTAACTTTTTGTATCAGCTAATTACTTTCCATAGAAAATGAGCTAAATATTGTCCTCAAAGGAAAAGATTCTTGTTAGAACTAGAAATAGAGCTGTTAAGCTAGAAGTCTAGAGCATTCATTTGCCTCCAAAAGATAAACACATTTCTCTGACATTATCTTAACCCTCTTCTATCTCTTTTGCCGGAGTTTAGCCACATTGTCCTTGCTATTTCTCATTTCCAAACTCATTCTTACTTTAGGGCCCTTTTAAAAAGTACAAGTACATTAAGATACCACAACATTTACTTCATTCCTTCATTTATTTATTTTGTCCATTCTAGGGCATGTCCAGAACGTGACTCAGGCCTCACAGTCTCATTTATCTTTTTCACTCACAGCTGGAACTCTAACACTCGAGCCACTTTTCCAGTCTAGCTAGCATTTCAATGGTTTACTGGGGATAGAGTCTTGAAGACATTTCTTCCTTGACCTGCAACACATTGAGAAACTCAGGTATCGGCTTCCTGAGTAGCTAGGGATTACATGTTTGCCACTGGTGCATGATCAAAAAATATGCTCTTCTAAAGCACACTATTCAATGGATTATCATCACTACTATTTTCAGAACATTTTCATCACCCCAAAAGCACATCTACTGAGCTAAACCAAAAATTCTTCAACTGTGTATCTATTTAATCAAAACATCAAAATCTGGATAAAACTTCTAAAATCAACTATATAAATATGTTCACTGTTTCATCAACAGGTTACAGAGCTTAGCCAAAAAGACAGAGGGTTGGGTGTCACTACTAACATTTTCTTATTCATACCTAAACATAAGCTTCCAGTCACTGGTAGAGTGCAAATACTCCCTACCCCAAATAGAGAAACAAAGTAAATTTTTTTAATGCTTCTCAGGTGAATACATTATTTCATGAATTTTCTATACAAATAAATCTTCATTAATCTATTAAAAGCAAAACATTTTTGCAGACTGTTTCAAATAAAGGAATATTGTAATGAAAGCCAATTGGTGAATAGTGTACAATCTATTAAAAATAAATTATGCTCCAAAGAGAGAAAAACATATATATTATGTGTATTATCCATATTATATTACATATATAACATATAATTATATATTATAATTATTATATACAGCTATATAATAAATGTATAAACAAATATGTAATATATAATATAGATAATACACATAATATATATGTATAATACATATACATATATACTTTATTATAATTATATATAATATAGACAATATTATATAATATATACAAAATATATTTTTTGTTTGTTTTTGTTTTTTCCAGTCTTTTGTGGAGCCTGAACTCTGGGCCTGGTGCTGTCCCTCAGCTCTTCAGCTGAAGGCTAGCACTGTACCACTTGAGCATCAGCCCCACTTCTGACTTTTTCTGTTTATGTGGTACTGAGGAATCGAACCTAGGGTCTCATGCATGCAAGGCAAGCACTCTACCACTGAGCCACCTTCTCAGCCCAAAACATATATTCTTATAATACAACAAATTAAAATCATAAAGTTTTAAAAAGGTTTACACAATTTTTAAAATTTAAAAAGGTTTAAACAATACCAAAATAAAAAATTTGGGTAAAAGCTTAGTAAGTAAAGGCATCTTTATAACTTCTTTAATTTCAAACCATCATGTCATATTTACAGATTGAGTCTAAAAAAACCTTGTAACAGAAAAGCATCTGCTTAAACAATATACTTGATCAGGTATGACAGGCATGTTCTGAATCTTGAAACCACACACCAAAAAAATAAGTTTCAGAAAAAATAAATTTTCAAAGTACATATTATGATTTACTTTGTTCCAAAGATACACAATATTAAGAATCTAAGAAGTAAATCATACAATGCAAAAGACTAATAGAAATGTTTATTAGTATTAAGTGATATAAAATAAAAATTATGTCAAAAATAACTACCAAACAGGGCCAAATCTTGGTCAACATTACCACACGGAATTTGTCAAAGAAAAAATTTTTGTTGTTGTTGTTGGTTGTGAGGCCTGAATTCTGGGCCTGGGCACTGTCCCTCAGCTCTTCAGCTCAAGGCTAGTGCTCTATCACTTGACCCACAGTGCCACTTTCGGCTTTTTCTATGTATGTGGTGCTGAAGAATCGAACCCAGCGGCTCATGCATGCAAGGCAAGCATTCTACCACTGAGCCACCTTCCCAGCCCCAGAAAATTTTAATAGAACAATAATACCATTAACTTAGTCAGAGTTGGTCTTGGTCCTCCTGTAAATGATGGGTCATTTTGCTCTTCTGAACCTGGGACTTCACTTAAGTTCTGATGCTGCTCATTTGAAGTATTTAACAACTTTGGCAAACACAGAAATTGGATCCCACACACGGAAGCTGCTGGTTTTACTTTTGGCACTTCCTGAATCCTCTGGTACCAAGAAGTTAGCAGTGGAAATTCTATCAGTTTCTCAGAAAATTTCTTGCAGATAATTACCTAGGTAGGAAAAGATAGTACACCATATTTATTTTTGATAGCTTGTTATAACAGGTACATTGACATAACTTTAGATCATTACATTTATAAATTTTAAAGTAGGACTTAAACGAGTTTTAGCAAATTTAAAGGAATATGGAACTATCACCATAGTCCAGTTCTAGAATAGTGTATCACCCAAAAAAGGTCCTTTGTGTCTATTTACTGTCAACCTCTGTTCTAGTGAGCTGTTGTCCTTATTTTGGGGTTTTCTAGAATTTCATATAAACAGAAAAATGACTTCTCACTTAAGTTATTGAGGTTTGTCCATTTAAATCATTCTTTCATTATTAGTTAAGAGTTTTCTAGCAGACATACTGTATTTTGCTTATCTATACAACAGGTGATGGACATTTGTATGTTTCCAGTTTGAGGTTATTTTAGTAACAATGATATATTTTAACACACCAGTGTTTGTGTACAAATTTCTTTTCTTGGGAGTAGATATTTTAGTTGCTAGCTTATATGAAAACTGTAAGTTGAACTTCTAGAGAAACATTTTAATTATTTTTCAGGGTGATCCCTGCATGTTTTTATTCACACTGGCAAGATTCGAATTTATTCACACTGGAGATTCAAATTTCTCCATATTTTGTCACCATTTGGTATTGTCAGTTTTAAGCATTCTTACTCATATAGTATTTCATTGTATAGCATTTTCTTATGAATAGTGATCTTGAGGATCTTTTCATGTTTATTTGCAATTTAGGTAACTTCTTTGGGGGCGTCTTAAAAGTTTTTGTCATTCATCTCAGAATAGAAATTTGGAATAATTCTAATGATGTAACAACTCAATTAAGAAAAAAAGGAAAGGATGGAATAATTTACCAAAATAGATATACAGGTGGCTACAAAGAACATAAAAACATGACCATTATATATCACTAGAGAACTGGAAATTAAAGCAAGAAGACATGGTTGTATACCTATTAGAATAAAAGCTAAAGTATTCACAATACCAAATGAGCATAAGGGAGCAGAACAAGATAAACCCTCCTTCCTGATCAATGCAAAACAGTATAGACACTTTAAAAGACAGTTAGTACATCTGTACAAAATTAAAGTTACTATACAATCCAGCAACCATGTTCCAAAAACTTAAAAACTTACCCAGAGTATATTCATACTTGTCGGACCCAAGACACCAGTCAGTAAGTAAATAGATCAGTTGTAGCACATCTACACAATTCTAAAACTCAAACTCAAAGCCAGGTGCAATGGCCTACAACTGTAATCTGAGTTTCTTGGGAGGAGGGGAATAGGAGGATCAAGTTCAAGGCCAACCCAGGCAAAAAGTTTGCAAGACCCCACCTCAACCAATGGCTGGGTAAGGTTGTGTACACCTGTCAGCTATGTGGAAAGCAAGTGAGATCAGAAGACTGAAGTTCCAGACTAAGCTGGGTAAAAACCTTTTTAAGATCCTAACTCAACAGGAAAGGCTGGGCATGGTGACATGTGCCAGACATCTCAACTAAGGTCATAGTATAAATTGGAGAACTGTGGTCTAGACTAGCCAGACCAAAAAGACCTTATCTCCAAATAAGTGTACAAAGGGCTAGAGGTAGGCCTCAACCTATAGCACTTGCCCAGCAAGCATAAAACCTTGAGTTCAAAAAGTAAAACAAAAGAAAAAAAAAAGAAAAACATACTCACTAGAAAAAAAATGACAGACAATTCTAAGAATTAACATAAATAGCAGTGACAAAATTTATGTTTATAAATGTTGTATTAAAAAGCACTTGGGTTCGTTCCATATCTTAGCTATAGTAAATAATGCTGCAATAAACATAGTCGTGCTGGTAGCTTTAGTGTGGTCTTGTTTGTAAACATTTGGGTAAATGCCCAAAAGTAGGATTGCTGGGTCATAGGGGAGCTCTATGTGGAGTCTTTTGAGGAACCTCCATACTACTTTCCAAAGTGGTTGAACAAGTTTACACTCC